CTCCCTGGATCTCTGGGCTCCTTTTCATGTCCAGCCAGATTAACTGTGAGTTAACTGTGCCATCTTCATTCCCCTTGGACCTCTGCATCCCAGCACCGGCTCCATTCTGCTTTGCGCTATGGTCGGTCACCTGACTCGTGAGGGAAGTATGCCTGCGGGGGACAGAGTCTCCTGGGTGTCTCACTTATCTTAGAAGCCTGCCTAGCACCCTGTGATGGGCGCTCCCTAAAGGTGGGTGCCCTGCATTTTTCTGCTCTCCTAAAAGCCCATAGGAGCATATGGGCCAATCAGCAGTTGGCACATTCCTTACCGCTGTGCATAGCTCCTTCTGAGTCTGGACCCAGTTTACATCACCAGAGACCCAGGTACCTCCACTAAGCTCAGTGAGTCTCAGTCTCCTTGTTACCCCGCTTTCTAGGCCTGTTGTGAGGACCAGAGGTAATGACGCTGTACCCCAAATGTCTGACCCAGAGGAGGTAGGAGCTCGGTAAGTGACCACTCTACCTACCGTGGTCCTGGATTTCTGGAATAGCACAAAGAAGCCTACAGCACCACCTCAGCACGCACCCCAACTGCAGTAACTGACTCCTTCTCTCTGCCAGTCGGGGCGCCGAGCACCACAGCGATAAATGGCAGGAAGTCTGTTGCTGTCCTCGCGGAGCACACAGCCCCATCTGCCTTTCTCTTTGTGGTAATCTCAGTCCTCAGACCACGGTTCCCTAGGAGGGCCCACAGTCCTCCGGCCAGAGGTGCTGCCGGTTCTGGGGAAGGCTGGACGTCGGGAGTGCCGAGTAAGCAGTGTGCAGAGCGAGGGGCTTTAATGAGCCATCAATTATTCCCTGCGCTCTTGGCACCCCCAACAGAGGAGGGAGGAAATTGTGAGAGTAGGGGCTGAAAAATAACGGGAAAAGTCCCCCGCTGGGCTTGCCTCATCAGCGTTTTCCTGAGACCTCAAGGGATACATCAGCTGTCATCCTGCCAGCAAAACTTAGGAAATATGTAGGCCATAAAATCAAAGAAAAAAGCCTGCATCTAATTAGTATGTTAAAGAAAAAAAAAGGAAGCAACCCAAACTGAAAAACAAAATTAAAATCAAAGAGGACAGACTGATGAGCTGGTTTTCTTTATGAGGCTTTGTTTTCTTGGGTTTTCGATTGAAGGAAGGGTAGGAGGAGTGGGGGTGGTATGAAAAGAAGAACCAGATGGGCTTTTTGGACGGGGGTCCCAGAAGAGCCCAGCCGCCCAACCCTCCCACCTCCATGGGAGCCTCAACCCTGTCAACCTCAGCACCACCCTCTCCACCCAAGTGAGGGCTCCTGAGGGTCCTTGCAGCACCCTGTTCAGGGGTGCTCCCAGAGGCAGGCCACACCACACAGGCTCCACACCCTGCTGCAGACTGGCTTCCCCTGGCGTGGGTGAGGCAGGACGGGGCATGCCAGTGGCAGGGCTGAGAACCCTTTATGACAACATTCCATCTACAGAGAACTCTTTTAATTGCCAGCGTGATGTTCGGGGACTCTTCAACCTGAGCAATGGCGTTCAATTCCCAGACTCTAGATATCACCTCCACACTGATGACCTCAAATTTCCCAAACGATTCCCCGGGCTGAGAATGTCTGCTGTCTGCTGGTCAATCAACGGATGCAGTCACCCCTGGTACACCAAACTCACTGTGCACCTAGCAGAACTCAGAAGCCCGGTCCAGCCACACCCCACCCAACACTCCAGCCTCCTGCACCTCTGCTTGGACCCCCTGACCAGGCTATCGTTCTCCCCAAGGCCACTGCATCCTGCCCTGTCCTCCTCCGGGCCTCTGCTCCCTCTGCCTGGTTTGGGCACCAGTCCTAGTCCTGAGGAGGAGAAGCGGCTCCCTCCCTGCTTCCATAACTGCCTCTGTGACACTCCCACCCTCAGCACACTGTTCACAACTTGACAAGTGCTTAGCACGTTCTAATTAGTTTTGAGCCTCTTCCCCTAGACTGTGAACGCCTGAAGGATAGGGATCTCGCTTATTCCTTTAGTATCTCTAGGACTGGACACAGAGCCTGGCATCGAGCAGGGCCAGCTGAGTAGTTCCTGGAGCATGCGTTCCACTGGGCTTGGATTATGGTCAATCATTTATACTCTATGTCCCCGGAAGGGTGTAAACTCCATGAGGGCAGCTGCGGTGTGACACCTCTAGCACAGCACTTAGCACTGTGCCCAGCTAGCCCCGAGGAGAGTCACAGTCAATGTTTGCCACATTAAATTCATACAAGGGTAAGGTTTCATTCCACAATGTCTGAAATTGTTACTGGTTCCCATCATGTGCTTGGCATTGCTCTGGGTGCTGGGGAGACACAGTGAACAAGGCAGACAATGTCCCGTCATGGAGCTTATATTTTAATGTATGAGACAGACAAGAGCAGTAAACAGACACATAAATAAAAACAATCACAGGTTGTGATAAGGGCTCGGATGGAAAGAATCAGGGTGCTATGATGGGAATAATGGATGCAGAGAAGTGGAGGGATTCAAGGTTGAGTTCAGAAGCAGAAGAGGTGGGATGGACTAAGGAGCTGGCTATGAAGGCTGATGGGGAGAGAATTGAAGGGCTGAACCCAGGCCTGGAAGGATGGCTGCGAGGGTCTGCATGGAGGTGGTAGAGGTGAGGGTGGGCAGAAAGCAGTGGGGGAGAAAAGCAGAGGGGTGGGAGTGAAGATGGCGCCTGTGCAGACCCTTCACCAGTTCACTCATCTGCTCGCTTGCCCAGGCGCCCACTCAACAACCCTCCACTCACTGTCCAGCGTGGGCTCAGCGCCTTAAAAGGCACTGGGGAAATAAAGCAGGATCCGAGGGAGACAGAGGCCGGGGCTCACAACAATGGGAAATTGCGAATCACTTAGGTTGTGCGTGGCAGGGTTTGAGAAAGAAAAACATCCACTACCACACGTCAGCACCCATTAAAAATGCTTTCCCTTTCTTGGAAGATCACTGTTTTGATTACATGGACGGAGGTGCAGGGAGAACACTCAGTGCAGGATAGCAGAACTGAGTGTAGTAAGAAGTTCTAATTGAACAAGTGGGCGTTAGAAGTAAATGCCATTTAAAGGCTGGAGTTGCAAATCACCACAGCTACCCCTCAGGGAGGAGGCGAAATGACGCTCTGAGCAGTAATTCACACGAATCTGACACTGAGGAGGAGCCCCCAGCGTGTCACTCCGGAAGGCATGAGTGGGGCTAAGTGTGTCCACTGGACCCCTTTACTCTCTTTTTCTCTAAGGAGAAAACAACAGATTCCAATGCCTCATACTCTCTGTCTACAAAATGGGCACAATGGATTTACCATTCCCGGATGGGGAGGGCTGAGCAGACACGAGATTTCCAGTCCCTATGCCTTCACTCACAGTGCTGTTTCTTTCTGGACTGCCTCTGTCCTAGCCTCTTAGGCCAGTTCAATGCCACTGCTCTCACAAGGCTTCCCACAGGATTTTGGCCATGTCTCACTTAAAATAATGACGACAATGATCTTCGTGGTATTTTGTAATACTCACACTAACGTTCGCTGTTAACTTGTGTCACCTCATTCAATCCCCTTGCCCATTCTAGGCAGTCACAAGAACAACTGGTATCTTGCCTGAGGTAACAGAGTAAACAACAGCGCCAAGATTCGGATCCAGAAGCCTCTGACCCTAGAGCCCACGCTCTTAACCTTGCTTTGCTTCGCTGTGTGGACTACATTTATCTTCACGTTTCATCTGCCACCTGGAATGGGAGCTAGAAGCAACTTAAAGGCAAGCTCTGAGTAAATCTAGCCTAGTCCTTCATCTTAGAAATGGGCAGAATGAGAGCCTGAGGGGAACACTGATTTGTCTGCAGTTACCCAGTCCATCTGGACTCTCCCTGAACTCAGACATCGTCAGTACTGGAAATTCCCACATGGGCCTCCACTGCCACACGTGCCAGCCGGTGCTCCCCAGTTAGTCCCTAGGTGGCTGAGGGTGGGGCTGCACCCAGAGCTCAGAAGAGGGGCCCTGCCTTGTGACTGGGGGCTTGCTCACTGGCCAGAGGCCTCTCCAGCTAAGTCAGGTCCAGTCGAAGATCCAACAGCATTTAGGGAATTCCATGGGGTGGGTGGGGAGGAGGGATACCCACACTGACTGAGCACCCACTGTGTGCCAGGTACAGACTGGACGCTGTAGTACCTCCTGTAATCTTTGCAAAATTTCTTCCCAGGTAAATATACAGCTGTAATCATGCTCGTAGCTAGGGGAGGCAGAGCTAGGCCCGGAAGGCAGGCATACTCTTTCCACCACTCCACATTGCCTCAATTCACTGCAGAATTCCAGTTACAGTAGTCCCCCGCATCCTGACGGATGTTCCAAGACCCCGATGGATGCCTGACCCTGCACACAGTACTGAACCCTATGTACACTGTGTTTCTCCCTATAGATCCACACCTATGATAACTACATAACTATGATAAAGGTTAATTTATAAATTAGGCACAGTAAGAGATTAACAACAATAACTAAATAAAATAGAACAATTATAACAATATACTATAAAAAAGTTATATGAATGTGGCCTCTCTCTCTCTCAAAATATCTTATGGTACTGTACTCATCTATTTCTGGACAGTTGACTGTGTGTAACTGAAAGCAAAACTGTGGATAAGGAAGGACTATTGTATTTCTTGTCATTTCCTTGCTTTTTTCCCTAAGAAAGCAATTTCCTTCTACTATGTGTAGTTTGGAATTGAATTTTTTGCTTTTTTAAAAAAATTAACAACTGTTTCAAGCCCTTGTGCCTCTTGTTTATGGTTGGAAGTTCTGGAACTGGAGGGTCAGAGGCAGAGAACAACGAGGCTAGTCTTCAGTATTCTGACAAAGATGACCTGGACACACAGTGAAATGGACAACTTAGGCTTTCAGTGCAGAAAATGCTCCGCACCAAATACCAGGGATACTGACAGAGCCTCAGACCTCTGGAGCCCCAGACATAAGTAGCATCCAACTCACCCTTGATGATATGCCTGACAATTTTGATGGAGCTTCCTCGCATGTTTAGGATCTGGTGAACTCTCTGGCGAATCTAATAAGGGAAAAAATGGGTAGAGAAAGACAGACAACCATTTGTCCTGACACACTAGAATGTATCACCTTGAAATTATTTACCTCACCCCATCCCTGAAAAAGAAGGCTCACATAGAGTAAAGGAATTCAAGGAGAGCGCGATCCCCTTCTTTCCCTGAGAGTCTACCTAAGCAGCTGGCGAGGAAGGAGGCAGGGATGGATAGGCCCATGCAGCGGAAGACCCTCCTACCTGGGGGACATTGGCATTGCAGATCTCGGCCATGATGTAGCAGATGTGCTGGAGAACAAAGAGCCCCGCATCTAGGCGCCGGAGGTAGAACTCCTCCTCGATGTCATTGTCTATGATCTCTCCTCGCCGGACCATGTCCTAGAAACAAATGAACATTTAGGAATAAAAGCTGGACAGTGAATGGGAGGAAAGAATGAACTCCTAGTCTGGCCATAATACACACAAAAATAGCAACTACAACAACAGCAAAAGAAAACTACCTCATCTTTTTGATTTGTCTACATCTCCCATTACTCTAAAGTACCTTTCACATTCTTCATTCTTAATGGACTATAGAGGCCCCAGGAGGCGAGCTTAAAGTCTATTTTTTCCTATCTGATGAATCAGGGCCAAAATGATCTCATCCACATATAAAAAAAGCTTAAAAAAAAAAAAAGCTGAAGGGACACAAATCTAAGCTATTTATCTGCTTCCACTCATTTTTTACTCTTTGGTTTGGGCCTCCATAATCTCTCTGTAAGGTACAGTTGGCCTCTGACTTACCATGGATCAACTTTATGATGGGGTGAGAGTGACAGACATGTGGTAGAAACTGTACTTCTGTGCAAGGCTGGTAGTGGCCTCAGCTCCCAGTCAGCCATGCATTTTCTTTTCTTTTTTTTTTGAGATGGAGTTTCGCTCTTGTCCCCCAGGCTGGAGTGCAATGGCGCGATCTCAGCGCACTGCAACCTCCGCCTCCCTGGTTCATGCAGTTCTCCGGCCTCAGCCTCCTGAGTAGCTGGGATTACAGGCATGTGCCACCACGTCCAGCTAATTTTTGTAGTTTTGGTAGAGACGAGATTTCTCCATGTTGGTCAGGCTGGTCTCAAACTCCTGACCTCGGCCTCCCAAAGTGCTAGGATTACAGGCGTGAGCCACCACACCCAGCAGCCACGCATTTTCAACTCATGATATTTTCAATTTACAGTAGGTTTATCAGGATGCAATGCAATCGTAAGCTGAGGAACATCTGTATATTTAAATCTCCCTTCCAAATCAAGTTAACCACAGCAGAGAAAGGTCCCCTTTCTCCACAACTCTGAAACCAATGGCACAGGCACCCAACTTGCGTACATAAGCCCTCTGGCCTAGGTGTTTTGTCAGAGGCCATGCTGCATTTCACACATCCAACACCCCCCAGGCCAAAGCCCTAATTAAGTCACGGGAGTCTCCTTTGTAACCCTAGACCTCTCAGACTTGCTGTCCTCATATCCAGTCCTCCCTAGTAGATTCCTTTAAAAACAAACAAACAAACAAACAAAAAACAGCTTTATTGAGATATAATTCACATACAATTAATCCATTGAAAGTGTACAATCTAACAACTTTTATATATTGAGTTGTGCAATCAATTTTTAACATCTTTACCATCCCCCAACCCCAATCCTCCCACCCCTCATCCTGTGCGCTGTGAACACTTCTGCCAAGATGGCTCAGAGCCCTACTGCTTTCCCTCCTTGGGATTCTGGGGTATGGTTCAATCTCACATCATTTTTAAGCTACATCCATCACAAAGGCCTTCCCGATTTTTACTTAAGGCTAACAACTCTCCTTTCTAAAATTGCTGAGAGCACCTTGACAAACCACTCTGCAACATGACCTCCTCTCCTCCCCATCATCTTCACACTGACTTCAGTCCCCACCAGCTCTCTCTGTCTCCAGCCTTTATTTCGTGGGAGTGGACTGTGAGCTCTGTGAAGGTAGGGCCCTAGCTCAGTACATATCTATGCAGCCAATGAGACAATGAGAGGAAAAAAGACATCTCCGTTTTTTTGTTTTGTTTGTTTGAGACAGGGTCTTACTCTCCTCCAGTCTGGAGTGCAGTGGCATGATGTTAGCTCACTGCAGCCTCGACTTCCTGGACTCCAGTGATCCTCCCACCTTAGCCTCTCAAATAGCTAGGACTACAGGTGCATGCCACCACATTCAGCTAATTAAAACTTTTGTGTGTGTGTAGAGATAGGGTCTCACTATGTTGCCTGGGCTGGTCTTTGGGCTCCTAGGTTCAAGTGATCCTCCTGCCTTGGCCTCCCAAAGTGATGGGATTACAGGTGTGAGCCACTGCATCCAGCCAGACATCCGGTTTAGGCCATGAGCTCTCAGGAGTGAGAACTGGGTGCGGGGACTTGTTCTGCGTGACTAGCACATGGGCCTAAGAAGGCAGGTACTCAATATATGCTTCTGATGGCAACAATCCATTTCATAATTCTGTTGGTAGCTTTATGGCCACCGTTCCTTCTGACAATTCGGGCTCCTGTCACTGACGGAAGCCCTTGGGATCCTGCTTTCCACTCTTCCACATTCGAAGAACTCACCACTGTGGTCATCAATCTCCACCAAGAATCCTTCAGAGACTATTTAGACACAGATAATGCACTTCTTTATTTGCCCGGGGGGCCAGCCCGGTAGCAACACAAGGCTACTTTTCATCTCCTTCCTATGAGGCCTCTATCTTTGATGTGGAAATGAGTGAATCTACTTGGGAGGACTGGATATGAGGACAGCAAGTCTGAGAGGTCTAGGGTTACAGAGGAGACTCCTGTGACTTATTAGGGCTTTAGACTGGGGGGTATTAGACGTGTGAAATGCAGCTTGTGCCCCTGACAAAACCTGAATCCTCTTTGGCCTGCAGACTGCTAGGCCCTGTACTGCCTGGCAAATCACTAACACTAATTCCTAGCTTCATTTAGTAGCAAATTCATTGGTAATCTGGTAATAGCATTAATGTTCACGAGGTAGTCATGGAGCACTGGACTGATGTCCAATGAGTTTAAAAATAGAAGGTTCTCTTTAGTTTCTCATTTACTCATAATCATGACTTCCTGCTCCGGAACGCTGAAGTGTTCAGCAGTTACTACCAAATTTTAAAAGGGCAGGAAAGGGATTATTCATCCCACTGTATGAATTAGAAACCAAAGCACACAGAGGTTAAGTTGCTCATAATTACCAGTTGCTAGAAAACGGATTCCCCAGGGATAGGAATCGTGTGGGATTCATCTTTGATGTGGAAATGAGTAACTTGGCACAGTGTTGAGACCTCTGGCCCTACTAAGTGCCTAATGGCAAGAACACTACCCTAAGCACTGAATTAAGGCAGTAAAATAAGGAAAATGGAGGTAAGGGAAGCCCTGGTTTTAACCACTGAAGAGGTCGGTAGAAGTCACAAACTTCTAGGAAATGGCCAGAAAGTAAGTATAGTGTGCCCACATGTTAAAATAATTGTGATAGGTGCTGATCGGGGTTGGGTGAAATGTAAGGGCGTCCTGGAAGAAGTGACTTTTGGGTAAGGTTTCAGGGTGCATGATGGGCAGAGACAACAGAATGGAGTGCCTTAGAGGTACAGTCTTTGCGTTGCGTGAAGGCCCTACAAGAAAAGACTTTTGTTGGCCATACTTTCTGCTCACTCTCCCTCACCCCAGCCCAGCCCAGACAGGCCTGGGTTCCCTTCCTGGTCTTGCCTTGCTCCTCGTGTTGGTACCGCCCACTCCTCAGTCTCTATCATCATATATTGAAAGTCTACAATGTGATGTGCCTCACAAAATGTTCCCTGAGATCCCCAAGCAGATATGATTTTTCAGTCCCCTTCAGTGAGGATTCAGTACAAACCCCCACACCCTGGATTTGTACCTCTGTTGTGGTACCTCCCACGGTCTGCCTTGAACTAGCCATTCAGATCCATGCCTCTTCCTTGTGTGCGTTCCTTGAAAGTAAGAGCTGTACTGTGCTCATCTTTGTACCCTAGGAAGCACCTTGTGTAGCATTTTTTGCTTAGTAGGCTTTTTTTTTTTTTGAGGAGTTTTGCTCTTATCACCCAGGCTGGAGTGCCGGGTTCAAGCAACTCTCCTGTCTCAGCCTCCCAAGTAGCTGGGATTACAGGTGCCCGCCACCAAACCCAGCTAATTTTTGTATTTTTAGTAGAGACATGGTTTCACCATGTTGGCCAGGCTGGTTTCCCCTTCTGACCTCAGGTGATCTACCCACCTCGGCCTCCCAAAGTGCTGTGATTACAGGCGTGAGGCACTGTGCCCAGCCCTTAGTAGGGTCTTGGAAAGCATTTGCCAAACAGTATTGAAAAACAATGAAGGGAGAAGTTCAAAGCTTTTTAATGAGCTGTGTGTGCTGAGACTTGCATGGCTGGGGCAGAAGTGAAAACATCAGGAAATGGGGAAGGACTGTGCCTTGGAGGGTGAGCTGATAGCAGGCATACAGGCTGGCCAGAGAAGTCAGATATGATGGGCTACAGACTGTCAGCCAGCACTGTGCAGGAAAATGTCATGAATCAGAATATGCAAACAGCCAAATGATGGACACATCGGCTTAGAGCATGGAGAAGCAGGTAGAGTGCATAGCTGGAAGACCAGAGTATCAGCCTACGTGAGAAGGGGAAGGGAAGGGAAGAGGCCCGGGAGGTTACAAACAGGGGAACCTGAAGTGGAACTCATTCATTTACCCACTCAACAGAGATGTCTTGAACAGCTAACTGTGCCAGGTGCTGTGCTGGGACAGCAAAGATAAAACAGTCTACATAATCGAGGTGCTTATAATCTAATGAGGTTAATGAATATGAAATTCTTTTTGAAAAATGTAATAATGACTATTATAAAGGACCTTTCAAACTGTACTGAGTGCTGTGGGAACCCACAAGAAGGCTGGACTAAGTCTGTATGGGGGGTGGGGTCAGGAGTGCTTAAAGAAAATGTAACATCTGAGCTGGATTTTGAAGGAGTTTGACAGGCTGAAAAGGACATTCCAAGCAGAGGAAATAATAGCATGCATAAAGGCACAGAAAAGTCAACTTGGAGAGAACAACAGTGGGACATCAGTATCACTAATGGAAACAGAAAGGGGTAAGAGGAGGTTTTTTTGTTTCTTGGCTTATTAGATCACAGCTTTCGGTAGATCATATTATTTTTGATTGATTGATTACTACATACTAGACATTGCGTGAGGCAGTCTGGATAATAACTACTGCTGTCATTACCCACCTACCAGAGAGGAGCAGCTCATGTTACTGGGGGCTTACTATGTGTCAGAATAGTGCCAAGGGCTTTCTGTATATTAACTCCTTTACCTCTCAGAAATATTGAGAGGCAGGGGCC